GTTAAACCACCATCTATTTCAAAAGGTTAAATTATTGGAGAGGGTGTAGCTTCAGTATTTATTCTTCAACGCGCAGGTTATTTTTGGGCCTCACACGTGAAATTCTTTTAATAATTAGAGTAGCGACGAGATTCGAACATATGATGTCATGCTCTGATACCATGTTAAACTACAATTTACTCTAAAAGTTTAAGTTGTTCGAAAGAGCGTAACTTGAGTATTTAATCATCAACGGACACCTTATGTAGCTACTTTGTTATTGGAGTGTAATATTAACTAAAATTGGTTTTGTGTGAACATACCGTGAGGAAAAGTATCATTGACCTTTTGTTCTTAGCAAAGATACGTTGTATATGGTCCACCTCTTCTAGCTGATTGCACTCTCTAAAACTATAGCCACCATCGCACCACACTCACCACTGTTTGTTCTTTCAATACCACTCATTCCACTGTTTAACTGTTCATCAATCTCTTGGAAAACATGGCCCAATTTCTCTTCTTGCTTTTTTCAGGGGCCCAATACTCATATTGGTCTAATGAGATGAACAATTGTTTGCTTTGGTTGTGGGAGACGAGTTATGTTTCTAGTTCAGAAGTAAAATATCTGATCCTAGAGGTAAAGAATTTGAAAACTCTATTGCTAGATGGGAGATGGAGAATGCTCGGGTCCTTACTTTGCTATGTAATTCCTTGGAATTCAGTATTGGCACGAATGTTTCAAACTTTGGCACTAGAAAGAAAGTATGAAATTATTTGTACCAAATGCATTTGAGTTGCAATTTCGTGAAATAACATCAGTTAGAAATATTCGAGCTGCAACGCAATGAGATAACCTATTAAGAAATTCTGCAATCAGATGACTATGGACTGGATCAGTTGGTGCTCTTTGAACCACTAGACTCACAAATATTGAATAGTTACGTACAATGTAGAAAAAAAGGATGGTCCAATTTTTATGGCTCTCAGAGATCAGTTTGAACCTCTTTGTGGTGCTGTTCATCGTCATATTCCACTTCCTATTATTGAGTGAGTTACTCTAGAACTTATGCTGAGGAGACTTGATTTAAGGTGGCTTATGTTGTCTCTTCTTCACAATTAGGGTTTGTTACTCCTACTAAAGCCTCTATTGTTGCCTACTTTCTCTGCACAACTCATACAAGTAACTAGAAATTCAAAACCATGTGTTGGTATGGATGAGTGCATTTTTATAATCAAAAAACACACTAGAAAGTTTTGTAGTCCCAAACTTCAGAACGGGTGTTCTTCCACTCAATTGTTCTTTTCATAGGTTTTTGTTCGTCCATTTATATCTAAATTTAATCCAAACACTGTCTCGCCTAGTACTGTTCAATCAGTGATTAAGCAGCTATAGTCAATGCTTGCTACTTTCACTGTGGATCAGTCTAATTGCTCCGCTATGGCCGTCAGTCATTCATGTTTGATAGGTTGGTACATCTCGGTTATATCATCTTCTGTTTAGATTTTTGATTTAGGTTGTTCTCATCATCTGCTCCTTTCCCATCTTCTCTGTAATTGTCTCTCTCCCTTCTCTTAATACTGTTGTTACTGGTAATGGTTCTCCAATGCATGTTTCCTTTGCATATTTCTTCCCTATTTGTCCTCATCGCTTTCTATCCTGAATGTTTTATATGTTCTACAATTGTATGTTAGTTTACTGTTGATTAGTCAAATTCTCTGATTTGGATTTGGATTTTGTGCTTTCTTCTTTGGTTATATTGTTCAAGATCGCAAGTCGAAGAAGCAGATTGGAATAAGGCGTAGAGTTGATGATTTATGCATTCTGAAGCACTTACATTTCTGTGCAGTCTAGTCCTTCTGTGTTGTCTTCTATTTAACCTGCAAAATCATTCGTCCCAAATTTATTTATGGCATTCTAGGTTAGGTCATTGGTCTGGTGAGCGTTTGAAAAATTTAAATTCCTTTGCATTTTAGTCAATGTATCTCCTAGTGACATCTTTACTTGTAGTGGATGTAAATCTGCACAAAAATTTGCTTTACATCTTATTATCTGCATTACTTTTTCTACTTTTCCTTGTTCATACTGGTTGTATTGGGACATTCTCCTGTTTCCAATAAACGTCATTCTATAGGGTATGTTTCGTTTATTGATGAACTCTTCATTATTAGGTATATATGCTATGACCCACAAATCTAATTCCTTTTAAATTTACCATAACTTTCTTTTTATGTTCACACTCGTTTTTCCACACCAATAAAAGTTCTTCGTTTGGATTTGGATGAAGAAAATTTGTAGAAAGATTCCAACAATTTATTGGATGTATCTAGGATAGGGGATCAATCATATTGCTCAGGTTCTCCTAAATAAGAGGGTGTTGCTAAGTGTAAGCACATATGTTTTCTTGAAGCTGTGTGTGGTTTTCTTTTTTCTTCTGTTGTTTCATCTATCTTTGAGGTAAAGTTGTTCTTATCGCATTTTATCTCTTAAATTGTATACCTACCTCTTTGAATGTTGTTGCTTGAGCACATTTCATATTTCACCATTCGTGCTGAAGTAGCTCATCTTTCTGGAGATGAACTTGTGCATATTGACCCTCCCTTCTCTTAGTGTTTTTGATATCCCTGCATCAGTTGATGCTTCTTCATTTCATCTCTCTTGTTCCGAATTCTCTCCATCCTTTGGACAATTCTTGTAAGAAAAAATCATTTTTCACATCTCATGATATGAGCTCTTATAGGCCCAATTCTAAACCTATGGACTTCTAAATGAAAGTATCATATTCGCACTCACAATCCACCGGTGATTGTTTTTTGATACTTGTTGTTCTCCTTGCCATTCTTTTACTTCTATTCATTCTTCTTTTGAGCCCAGTCTTATGATGAAGTCAGTACTGATCCTAATTGGATTAGTATGATGCAAGATGAGTTGGTTGTTCTTCATAAGGCTCCTACCTGAGATCTAGTTTCTTTGCCTCTAGTTAGGGGTGTCCCTGGGCCGGGTTACCCACGTGTCCAGTTGCCCGGCTCGAAACCCAATAAGCCCAATAGTTGGCCAGCCCCAGCTCGAGCTCGAGCTCGAGCCCAAGTCCAATATCCTTAAAAAGAGGACTTGAGTTTACCCTCAAATCCATTACCTGGCCTGACGCCTGGTTCAATAGCCCGCCTGAAAAAATTCAGCCCAAGAGCCTGCCCGTCAAGCCCGCCCACCTTTTGAAAAAAAGTTATACTTTTAGACCATTAAATTTGAAATTTTAAAATAAGTCTCCCAATGTCGGAATTTAAAATTTTAAAAATTTAGATACTATAGATAATGTATTATTTTCTTTTTCATGTATCAAGCATACAAATTTTAAAGGATAAAGTAATGCAAATGATAGATAAGTGAGTAAACTAGTTGAGATAGTATTATTTTCTTTTTCATGTATCAAGCATACAAATTTTAAAGGATAAAGTAATGCAAATGATAGATAAGTGAGTAGGTGTCAAACTAGTTGAGATGTATTCATTGTATTGGATGTAATTCATCTTCTAATCAAAAATAAAATTATTCATTATTTTATTTTTATTTATTTTGACTCTACTTTTGATTCAAAAATATAATTTACACAAATATTAAATTACAAAAAATATTCATTATTTTTAAATGAAATTGTATATAAAAAGATCACGAGCTGGCCCGCTTAGCAAGTTTGCCCAAAAAGCCCGCCCACATGTCCGCCTAATAGGCTCGTCTGTTGGGCTGCGAATAGTCTACCCCCACCCGAAGTCCGACCCATCCGATAACTTAGTTGGTTAATGGCTTGGGCCTATACTAAAGCTTGACCCAAAAAAAATTTCGCAGGCTTAGCTCAGCCCAGCCCAGCCCATAGACACCCCTACCTCTAGGTGGTAATATTGTTTTTTACTAATGGGTTTTTGAGGTTAAGAGTCATACTTATTGTGCCCATGAGCGTCATAAAACTTGATTAGTGACTTAAGGATTTTCTTACTAATATGGTGTTGGATATGAGGAAATATTTTCTCGTATTGCAAAAGTAATGATTGTTCAATGAAGCATTTTATATCTGTCCCCCTCCTTGTCTTTCTCATCCCTGTTGCTATGCTTGTTGCTTCATCAGGATTTTTATGATCTGATGCAAGCTCCCCGAGTCTGATATTAACGATTTCAGTTAATTGTTACTTAAATTGGTTTTGTTTTTACTACTCATGATCCTTCTCTACTTGTTCGTCGCTCAACCCAAAGCTTGGGTTTTTTATTTTGGTTCTCTCTGGTCCAGATGCTGTCGCTATGGACCAAGAGAATTGACATGTTTTACTTGAGTTTGGGATGAAGAATTTTAGTTCTCTACGCAATACTATTGGATATTGAGGTTTATGCTCTATTCTTTCTTTCACTCTGCATGCCTATGCTAATTTTGATTGGGCCAAGGATTCTGATATGTGGTTCTCTTATTTCTTGAAAAGTGAGGAACAATCAATTATTAATCATGTTCTACTGTTGAGCCTGAGTATCATGCTGTCGCACATGCCACTGTTGAGATTGTTTGGCTACATTGGCTTCTATAAGATATGAGTGTTGTTTTTTCCTCTCCTCTTTTGTATTGTCACAATAAGAGTGTCATCCAGATTGCTCACAATTTCATCTTTCATGAACATACGAAATCTGTGGAGATTGATTGTCATTTTATGTCTGTTTAACATCTTCAATGGGGCATCTTCACCAAGCTTCATACTTTTGCATGTTTTGGATTTTTATTTGACAAACTCTCGATGCTCTTCGGGCTTGCATCATGAGTTTGAGGCCAATGCGACTGGATTGTGAGAGTAAATATGTTTGTATGTTATAGGGTATTTTTTTCTTCTGTGCAATCTAATGTTTTGTTGCTGTGTATGTATTGTCGTAATATGTTGTAAAGTGAGGAAAAGTATTATTTGCGGTCTTTTCTTAGAAACTCTACAAGTTTAATTGGTTATTGATGTATATGTGGCCCTGATATGTTCTAGATGGTACCAATCCTGCAATGGTGGGGAAGTTAGTACATAAGTTTTTGAACTATGGAAAAAGCAATAAAGAATCCTTGGCTCAGCTCTTTGTTACTTTACTAATCAAGGTAATGTTTGTTCTCTTGGTGTGTTAATTTCATCAAGGGTAAGCTGTATTTTATCTGCTTGTGGTTTGAGTCATAAATACCTCGTAATATTTTAAAACCTGCACATAATCTCCTGTGGTTTTGGACAAACGTATTACAGCTAACGAGATTAACAAGTTAGGATAAAACGACAATAATACCTACATCATTTTTTCTATTTTATAGTGTTTTTTATTCCTAAAAATTCTGCGAAAATAGAAAAATATACTTAATGCATAGAAATGGAAGGGAGAGAGAGATTAATTTATTGCAGCGCGACTACAATTAATACTATAGTATTTATGTGGGTATAAAGTCATTTTTATGTGTTATTTGGTAGGTTCAATGGAATTTCTAATGGCTTTAGTTTAGTCTAAAACCACTGGGGGTTACATGTAGGTTTCTAAACTGTGAGGAGGTAATGTGTTACTGGGTGAATCCCATGGGAAGCAATCTGTAATTTTCCCTTTAATTAATCCTTACCATCACAATCTTGCCTGTCTGCCAGTTTCTTACCAAAAGAAAATAGGGGAAAATACATGACCTATAGTTTTTAGAAGGTACTGCATTTTCAAAACTGAAGTTTGTAATTCTGGTGGACCATGTTTGCCATTGCAGTTATCATCTATTGAAAAGCTTTGGCCCAAAGGTATCTGTGCGAGCACATTTGAAGGATCCTGGATATCTAAAACATGGGATTCAAAAGTTGGCTGTATTAGTGTAATTATAATTCTTCTGTTTTAATTTCTTATGCCTTAGACAGACTGAATGTATGCTAAATATTTATCTTCTGCAGGTTGAGGATTTCACAGATCGGTCTCAAAATGTAGCAAGGGCAGTAGGCAAAGAAGAAGTAAAGAAGATCTACAAGTGCATTAAACTTTCTATGTCGTATGTTTTTGCCTTCATGGATGGCCAGGTTCAAGGATCCAGGTTAAGGGAAGTTTTGTTTGGCAAGGGTGCTATAACTACTACATTGGGTACACCTACTACAAATTTTGTTAAAAATGAAACACAGCCTTGCATTGAATCTGTCCAGACAAAACGGAGGCTAACTACAGAAGGTTGGGGAGGAACACAGCAAACATTGCCTTCTGACCCTATCTTAACAAAAAGGATGCGATCTATGAGAAGTTGGGGAGGACAACCCAGAGATGGTTGGGGTGGAGCACCCAGAGATGGTTGGGGAGGAGCACAGGAAGATATGCCTTTTGGTCCTATCTTGACAAAAATGCCGCAAGCTACTGAAGGATGGGGAGGAGCACCTACTGATAGTTGGGCAGGAGCTCCTATATATGGTTGGGGAGGAAGACAGCAACCAATTGCCCTTGGTCCTATCCAGACAACACAGATTCAATCTACAGTAGGCTGGAGTGGAGCACAGCAAGCTTTTTCCTTAGATCCTATCCAGCCAGAACAGATGCGTTTTCAACAAGGTTGGGGAAGGATGTAACAAGTTAATGATGAGACTTTTGGCAATGTAAATCCGAATTTAAATCATTCAAATTGTTGTTATAGAAATCCATTCGCTTCTAGTTTAGGTAATCAGATGTCTTGCGACAGAGAAAATTCCTCCTGGTCATACCAATAGCCCGTTCAGGTCCTAAACTTTATATGGTCTTCTACAGCCAACTTTTGTTCCTCCAAAGCATCCTCTGGGTTTTCATGGGTCCCGTAGCATAACTTGGGTGGTTTGGATAATGTCAAGTCAAACATAGGCATGTAAAATGTGTGAACCATTCCAAAGGAAAATCTGGGCATAGGCCACCTTCCAATCTAAGATAAATAGAATTTCGTTGATTCTTGCACTTTTCCTATTTTCTTTTAGGTGCCTTTTTTGGCGGTTTGGCCTCATCTCTCTATCCGGTGGAATGTTGGGTATTCTGTCATGAAATAGAAGGTTACTTCAAACTGACATCCACATTAGAATACATTTTCCATTCAGATCACAATCAAGAGAGTGCAACAGTCCGTATATTCCTTTAAGCTTGGAGTGCTAAGTTTGTCTATCTGATGGAACAGGTTGAATGCTCTTTTTCTGGGTATTTGTTTGAAAATTTGCATTAGAGAAGTGGGGGGGGGGGGGGGGGGGGGGTTGGGCCTTGAAATATTTAAAAATTCTATCTTGTGTATGAGGAGCAGGGGTTGGGCCTTGAAATATTTAAAAATTCTATGTTGTGTACGAGGAGTAAAATTTCATTTCAAAAATGGTTGAAACGTTTGTTTCCAAGAGACCGAAACGAATGAGTGATGAAATCGAAATTTTAATATTTCAAGGTGTTCCATAATGTTTCAAAATGTTTCAATGTATATGTACCATTATTTCAGAATGTTTCAAGGTATTTCAATATATTTTGGTATATTTTGATTAATAATTTGAAAAAATAATTCTTAAATCTTTTATTTTTATTTCTATTATGTTTCCTAAACGAGTTGAAACGTTTTTAAAACATGTTAAAATATTTTTGTTTCTGATCGAAATAATGCATCAAATAAAATTTTGATCTTTTGTTGTGTATATTGAAGATCAGTGCTGTAATTTGCCAGTCACAAATTCTTCATCATTTTAGTTGGTTTTTGTTTGTTTTGGGCTCGCTATTGGGCAATGTTATGGGTCGCTCGTGGTTGCCTCTCTAGGCGGTTTTCTTGTCTCCCAAGTGGCGGAAGTTTGATGTTCTAGACTGCCTTTTTATTTTGTACTTACTATTGGCCTACACGTTCTTGTTAGTATTAAGAAAATTAGTATCATAGTTGTTTTGTCTCTTTAATTGGTTTCATACACCCGTGAAAGCAGTCTGGAGGTGGAAAATCTAGTTATATCAACTGCTAGAGCCAAGAATTATTGATATTGCATGCCTAATGTTTTATGTCTAGCATATGAGTTCATTCGTTTGATTGTTTCTCCGTTCATTTACCTAGATGTGCATCATTGTATGGACAAAGGCGACTAAAGTGAAGCCTCGAATAACCTGCAAGACAAGCAAGTGCTAGGTGAATTAGTGATTAGAGGCAGCCAAAGGGACTCCGATGCTTAAATCAGATTGAAAGTCGAGAGAAATCTCAAGTGAGTAGTGAGAATTTTTGTATATCATACCTGGTGCTCGAAGGCTTTATTTGTAGTGGTAGGAAGTTTTGTTCCATTAAAACTCAAACTCTGAGTTCGGAGTAGTATTAGACTAGGACTCTTGTTTCTTGCTTCTAAGTTAACGTTCGAAATGTCCTTGTTGGGTGGCATAGTTAATCTTATCACTAACTCTTCAATGTTTGGAGTAGTGTTGGATTAGGACTCTTGCTCCTAGGTCAATTCGTATTTGAGTAGGACTTGTTCGGTGGTTATCTTGATGCAAGTGGGAAAGGGTGATAGCTGAGTACTTGTCGCGTGCTTGAGGTAGTCTGAAGTACTTGCGGAGTGCTTGATGTAGTTTGAGGTAGCTGAGGTACCTATCGGATGGTAAGTGAGGTACCTGTCGGATGGTAGCTGAGGTACTTGTCGGGGTGGTATGTTGGTTTCCATGTGCTTTCTGGCCAGCAAGGCCTTAGGCTTTCGTTGGTGTGTCGTTGATTGACATGAGCTAGCTCTTCAAAGGGTCTCCCACAATTGCTCCCCCATACCTCATTTAATGATCCTAATTAATTAAGGTATGTTTTTTTAGCAACAAGGGCTCTTTGGGCCTAACTCTTTGCCATTGGGATTTTGTTGCCTAATAAATTAGGGCTTCTTGTTCGTGTGAGGGCTTTGGATAAAGAGTCAATAGAGAAGGAGAGACTTGGCTTGGATAGTAATGATGGAGTACAGTTTGAGCCAACAGAAGTGGCTAGTAGGCGCATTAAGGAAGCTACAACTGAAGAGGAGGAGGAGACTTGTTCCATATCATGTAGGCTAGTATAACTTTGTATCATTCATGCTGTGACCTAGTGTTTGAAAATCAAGCTCCAGTATGCTTTGATTGTAGGTATGAAGGGTGGCTTTTCCATATGTGAGGATTTGATGACTCTGATGCTAATGAGTCGGAGGTTGTTAAAGATAAAGGCAAGAGGCAATTTGTAACTATTGTTAGGGAGTTGCTTGCAAACGAACTAAATCTAGGGGAAAACGAATGTTGGGAGCTGATTCTCATATTGATGACGACATAATCATAAAGCTTCTTGTGGGTGTCAAGTCTTCCTTGAAGAGTGTGGAGACAACGAGAGGAATGGGTCACACCACCCTGCTTCTTGAGGATAAGGAGAAAGTGTTAAGAATGCAGTTAATGGTGTTGCTTGACTCATTGCTGCTACATTCATTTCTGGTAAGCTCTAAGCTAAATTTGAAATGAGTTTGATTTTGTCCTTAGTTGATACTTTGTTGCCTTTGTAGGAGACTTATTTTGCTCTCGAGCTTGTCCAACGACATGAGTTGTTTGTAAGTCAGTTCAAGTCGGATAAGATCAAGGCTAACAAGCTCGAGAAACAACTTGAAGATTCTAGAGTGGAGATTGTCTTTTTGACGAGGAAGGTTGTAGGGGCAAAGTCTCAAGCCGATGAGCTGTAGGACGAACTTGCCAAGGCTAAGAATAATTAATCAATGGTAAAAGGGTAAATATGGAGTCAACACCAAGATTTGTAGTGGTTTGGGCCGGGTGACCTACTCCACTCTCGGGATCGGCAGCGGTGGCCGGTGATATTTTATTGATGAATAAAGTCTCCGGGAGAGTATGCTCGGGAGTGTTACAATAGTAAGGAGAGAGAAGTAATGTGTGTAGGGAGGTGTAGTGTGTGTAGAGATCTCAAAGTGTAGAGGTCTCAAGGTCATGCTCTCTATGTGGAGAGGACTTACATTATATAGGTATGATGAGGTGGTGAGGTAAGGCAGTCACTCGCTGGTCATGTAGAACCATCTACTTCCATTGTTTTTGAACCCTTGTTCTTCTTTTGTAATGGAAGTAGCTACTCTTTTGTAGTTGCATAATTTTTTGTCTAATTTGCTTGTGGGTTGGTTGGGTAGCTGTTGCCTAACCAATTTGCTTTGCCTTTCAGAAAGGCTTTAAGTGTGAGACGGTATACTTGACTTATGGCGAGGGGCTTAACGCCTTACCACAGAGGTGGAATATCGTCATGGGAAGGCTAAATAGCCTACTAAGCAACCATAGCTTGTTCGAGATGTCTATTGAAGGCTGGGTAGCCTAAAGGGGAACCTTAGAGGTTGCAAGGTAATGAATGGAGGTTAAGTGGCCTAAAGGGCAAATGGGCAACCGTGTAGGTCACATGGAGGCCAAGTGGCCTAAAGGGCAAATGGGCAACCGTGTAGGTCACATGGAGGCCAAGTAGCCTAATGAGCAACAGTAGAGGTTGTATGGAGGTTAAGTAGCCTAAAGGGAAACTGTGGAGGTCAGAAGATAATAAATGGAGGTTAAGCAGCTTAACAGGCAACTTTAAATTCTGAATCACCTTGTAGAATTTCAATCGTCCAAGCATCTCCCTTTCTCTTACAAAGACATAGCATTTGAACAAGCATTGTACTCCCCCGTAAGCTGGTTGACCACTAGCTGAGAGTCGAAGTATATGGTCAATTCTTCTGCCCCCAATCTTAATGCATTCCGTACCCCGAAGAGGAATGTTACGAACTCATCTTCATTCTTGGTTGTAGTAAACCCTATCCAAAGTGGTGGTTTAGCTTGCAACTCTGCAATTGATTTTTATTTGGGCTTGCTCCCTACATCCTCTAGGAGAGGGATGTCTTCATCAACCACATGGATTTGTTGGGACTTAGTCTTAAATTTAGCCCAAATGTTGAGACATTGTCGGAGGTACTGGGTCTCCATGAATCTCATTTATCCCCTCATCGGTTGGGAAATGTAGCATCTGGTGTAGCCAAGGTCTTTCCATAATAGAATTATAAGGTGCTGGCACATCAACTACTAAGAATTCAACATCAATCACCCGCGAGCTTGGTTTGACAGGAAGTCGCAACCTGCCAAGTGGTTAAACTTGCATCCCATTGAAATTGAATAGCTAGGTCATTGTTGGGAGAAGGTCGGCCGGGTCTTACCTAACCTATTGAATAGGTTGTAATACATGATCTTCGTTGAGCTCCCCAAATCAATGAGTATGCGCTTTATTTCAAATTCATTCATGTTAAGAGTGAGAACCAAGGGGTTGTTATGTGGGTAAACTATTCCTTCCAAGTTAACATCCGAAAACATGTCAGGGGTGATCTTGGATTCTCCCCTTAGTATTTTTGAGATGTGACCACCTTGATCATATGCCTGCATGACATGCTAAAGGTGGCGAGTTGTTTTGTATTTTGTCCGAACTTGGATTGAGTTGACCTACGTTGAAATTGTCACACTTAATATGAAATTTATGACCTTGGGTGGTTGGTAATCCCATGATTGCGACCGATCGTCTAGTTGGCTTTGTTGTTCTCTTTGGTTCTTAGAAGTTTTCTCTTAGTCAATGAATTGAGAAAGGTGGCTTTTGTCCTTATGGTATGAACAATAGTTGTTTTGGTCAAGCTTTGAGGGATCTCTTGTCAATCTTAGATGGTCACTTGAAATACTCATTGTGTTTGATTTGGTTTAGAACCCGATAGAGAGATTCCTTGAAATAGGTGTTGATTATGGGATAGGAGTCTCTCGCTCCCCAAGATAGGTTCTGTGAAGGGTTGGAGGTGTGGCCTCTTTCCTCTGGTTCTTCTTTGGGTTGGTTAGCTGGCCTTTTGTCATCTTCGATCTTGATGTACCTTTTGATATGCTCTTGCAAGTATGACTTGCTACGTGGTGGCCATATTGTAAGATGCTTTCATAATTCACTTTTCTTGGGGAGGCCCAAGTGGAAAATAGACGAGACAATCTTCTCATCACAGTCCTCTATGTCAGCGTAGGTATCCAAGTACCTCGTGACATATTTTCAGAGAGTCTCACCACGTTTCTAGCATAATGCTAGGAGTGTGTCAATTGTCATTGGCTCTCTAGGATTGGCTATGAATTGAGAGACAAATTATCCATCTAGTTGTTCCAAAGAGAAAACCAAGTTCATGGGCATCCCCTAAAACCACTTGAGAGCTAATCTCCCCAAACTAGAGGGGAACATCTTGCACATCAACGCTCTATTGTTTGCCCCAAGGGCCATCTTATTGGTAAAGGCTTTGATGTGGAGTATGGGGTCAGACTTGCCATCATATAACTCAAATGAAAGAGGAGTGAACTTACTCGGGGGTTCAAATTTTCGTATGGAGCGAACAAAAGGGGTAGCGGGCATCTTAACCAAAGTCTGTCTTGTTTTTGCTTTGGCTAAACATATAAGGTCATTTTGGCCAATGTTGTGTTGAAGGTGGTTGGCTTTTTCACGGGCTAGGTCAGAGCGCGTATGCTTTCGTTTTTTAAAGTCGTCATCCCAGTCATCTTGTTTAGGATGATGAGTTGAACTCCCATATAGTTTTCTATGCTCCTTGCGATGGCATTCCCTATGTGATTTGCTTTCTTTCACCCCATGACGAGGGTGATGCTCCCTTGGTGAAGGTTCCCTAGGCAACCATTGGGAAGTAATGCGTTTTGGTGAATGCATGTTCTTGCACTAATCATGGTTTGAATAACTACTTGCTGGAGACTTGCTCTTGCATCAGATAGGTTGGACCTCATCCAAGTGATCATTATGATGACCACTTTGATGAGTTTGGCATTTAATTTGGCAAGTAAGTTTCTTGCTTCTTTGGCAAGTGAGCCTTTGCTTAAGGGCTTCTAACTCCTTCGTCTTCTTCCTTATCGCTTCTTGGTACTCCACCTTGGTAGCTAGTCCGCCTTATGCATTGAGATATGGTTGGTTATGATGGCATGAATGTTGCTCTTCTACGTGCTTCTGCCCATCTCGAAGTAGTGCTTTCCCAAAAAATTGAAGGTCATAGTTCGAGGGATCTTCAAGAATTGGGGGTAGTGTAGGTGTCGTGCGACTAGTTCTTGGATCGATGGTTTTCCCAATAGACATGATTCAAAGCTTATGAGTTGTCGAAAAACTTAGTCGTTTTTCATAGACGACACCAATTGTGCGGGAAAAAGTTTGCACCACCGGTCACGACAGTGTGAGGACAAAGATGACAAAAGCGAAGCTTCGAACAACCTACAAGACAAGCAAGAGCTAGGTGAACCAGTGGCCGGATGCGGCCGAAGGGACTCCATTGCTTAAGTCAGATCGTAAGGTAAGAGAGAAAACTTTGGTAAGTAATGAGAATTTGTTCTATATCATACATGGTACCTAGAGGCTTTATTTATAGCAGTAGGAAGTAGTGTTTGGTTGAAACTTGAAGTCTAAGTTTTGATAGGATTGATCCGCCTTTGATTTTATCTCTAGCTCCTTAATGTTCGGAGTAGCATTGAACTAGGACTCTTGCTCCAAGGTTGAAGTTAGAAATGTACTTGCCAGGTGGTACAGTTGATCTTATCACTAGTTCCCTAATGTTCGGAGTAGTCTTTGACTAGGACCCTTGTTCCTCGGTTAGACTGTTGATCTTATCACTAGTTCCATAATGTTTAGGGTAGTCTTTGACTAGGACCCTTGTTCCTCAGTCAGACTGTATTAAAGTAGGACTTGTTTGGTCATACGGAGATGCAAGTGAGCAAAGATGGGTACTTGAGTGGTAGTTAAGGTACCCTCCAGGTGGTAGCTAAGGTACCTACCGGGTGCTTGAGGCACCTGAGGTAGCTGAAGTACCTGCTGGGTGGTAGTTGAGCTACCTGTCGGGGTGGTATGCTGGTTGCCATGTGCCTGCCGGCCGGCAAGGTCTTAGGCTTCTTTTGGTGGTCTGCTAATTGGTAGGAGCTGGCTCCTTAAAGGGTTGTGATGGGGTTGAAACTATCCTTATTGTTGTAATTGTAGCTTAGTTAAACTTAACTAAGAATAAGAGAAAGAGAGCATATAAAGAACAAAAGAGAATGGGAGAAGGTTATATTTTTATTAAAGACTGATCTGCTTAAATACATGAGTTTGCAACTAGAAATAAAAGCAACAAACTTCCTAAACTTTAGCTACTAACATTAACAGCTAGTAGATAACAGAAAATCAAAACAAATCTCCTAAAAACTTGGTCAAAGAGTATATCATGAACTGAATATCAGTTGCAGCCCTTAAAACCTGATCTTAAAGACACCTGGCATTCAAACCTGAGCTTGCAGCCTTAGTTTTACATGTGCAGCCACCTTTGCTAGCCATTTCAGCATCCATATTAGCAACCCTACAGCTAATGATGCACACATTCAACACTCCTCCTTGCATCGGTGGCTGGAAATTCCAAGTTTCTCTCTTAGAAACTCAAACTTGCTTCTAGGAAGAGCTTTAGTGAAGATATCTGCTAGCTGGTTTTCAGTCTTGCAATACTTTAAACATACTGCACCATCTTTTTGAACATCTCTGAGAAAGGACAACTTTATACTGAAATGCTTTATTTTTCCATGAAAAACTGGATTGTTGGAGATGGCTATGGTTGCTTGGTTGTCCACCGTCACCTCTGTACTCATCCCTTGCTCCAAGTGTAAATCAATTAGAACTTTTCTTAGCCAT